TGGAAATAAATAAGAACTTAGACACTTTTGTAAACATCTGAAATTTAAGTTCTGTTTAAATTTAGCAACTCTCGAATGTCCGTAGGGCCGGCGCGCTTCCTCAGCACAGCAGTACTGGACTGAAAGCTACGCGGTTCTTCATACAGACGACAAAGTTGTGCTTCGTGTTTGGTCCTGGAATAAATGACGGAGCCCCGAAGTTTTTGTCCCCTTTTGATTTCACATCTCAATCGGGAGGGGCGATATTCCCTTTCATGCAGATCATACTTTTGCCAGACCCAGCAAAGAACAGCATTCACACATAAGGTCCCCATCGAGAGTTACACGATTCTTTTCAAATACGGCAAGGTTATGAGTTGTGTTCGGTCCTGGCAAAAATGACTCATCATTTTAGCGAGACAGAAATTCAGCGAGCCCCGGCCGTAACTCATCGAGCCTTCGTTTGAAGTGAAACTGAGTTTCGACTCGGAGCCCTCGGGACGCGGCGCGGCGCACAGTGGCTCGAGTCAATGGGCGAGGACGGACAAAATTTGGAAACTTTAAAAGCCTATAACTCCGTTCATACAAAATTTTGATGATTTAAAAGTGTTTCCATTGGTTTACTCGTGAAATTTTCTTCAACAAGCACCCCTCACACATTAAAATTTGACGAATTAAACGTCAAAATATGCAGTTTCAGTTAGAAATTTCATGTCCGACCTCTCCCATTGATTCTGTCCACTGTGCGGCGGTCGGATCTTCCTCCTGACGACGGTAAAGTACGCAACTCAAATTACAAGGCGCGGTCGCGGTATCCAAAGTCGACTCAACAATAGGTCAATGGGCCGCCGTGGTCAAGGCTGCCGGATGTATCACAATATTTCAGTTTTTTTTTAAAACTGAACCATTCCTTACCAACCACCAATTTTTTCTCAATAACCTGCGATGCAAAATGGATGGTTGATATATTGTCAAAAGTCTAGTAACCTACGAGTAGTATCCCAGAAAGCACAACAATATTTTTAAAATATTGCCACAATATTTTGACAATATTATTAAAATGTTTTCAAAATATTTTTAGAATATTTTCAAAATATTTTAATGTTCCCTCCATGTAAATATTTTAAAAATATTTTACCGAAAATATTTTAAAAATATTATGGCCCGTAAAACAGCGGACCTAGGGGGTTTCACAGACGCTTCCAACGGGAGGGGGGAGGGGGGCTCCCCAAGTGAATTTTTGAAATTTTAAAACATCTATAGCATGCAGTTTGAGTAAATTTAATCATGAATATGACCAAATGTAAGCGTCCTTCCTTCTTCTTTCCTCCGTTCCTTCCTTCTCTCTTTATTCCCTTTTTCTTCCTCCTTTATGAATACCTACATCAATGAGAGAACTAGAGGGACACATTTCCCGATCAGCGACTTTGCAGTGGGACTACAATTTGCAATAAAGACCGACTATTTCTGGATCATCCATAAAGTCAGCAAAAAAACCACCTAACAATTATTAGATTTTATTTTATTCTATATTGAAAATATAATGTTTTTAGACTAGATAACTAAATAATATTAATTAGACTGTTTTAAAATTTTAAAATCATTATATTTTTTATCTGCATAGGGAAACTGATGGAACATACGTTGTTTTAGAATGAGCGAGAAATTGAAGTTTCTCATAGCAAATTTTAGTCAAATTTGCCTGCGATTTTTACTTTTTAAGAGACGAGCGGTGGTCTTTATCGCAAGAAATTCTGCGTAATGTTTCATTTTGCTTACGAATGTTCTCCGAAAGTTTCACGTCGAAATATAAGAAAAAATTATCTGAAAATAATAGAGACTGAGCGTTAGGTATGATAGCCTGCAATCGAGATTCGTATTTTCTGGTTTCACGATATCAACACTGGAAAAAAATTCGCTTGGATCTAGAGTCCAGACTCTTGAAAACAATGACAAGAAAAAGTACTCTTGATTCAATCGGATTTTTGCTTGAATCAAAAAGAAATCTGCTTAAATTAAGAGGCTTGGTTCTCGATTGAATCAAAAATCCGATTGAATCAAGAGTATTTTTCCTTGTCAATGTTTTTAAGAATCTGGACTCTAGATCCAAGCGACTTTTTTTTCCAGTGAATATTTAAATCTTTAAAGGAAACATGACAACGCGCGCATGCAACAGCCCGAGGCGACTACTTGTTCATTCATTCATCAAGACCCGCGATTATCATATCTTCAAGTTCCATTGATACAACACCATTAAACAGTCGAAAACGAAGCATCGTATCATAAAGATGCCCTCTGCACTTACAAAATAAATCCAGGTCAAATATCAATCGGAGCTGCGGGGTAAGGTCCGAGACGTGACTTGACCCTTGTCACGCTCTCCACGGAGGAGGACATGCCTTCATATCCAGGAAGAAATGGCAATTAAATAATTCCTCCCGACCACGCGTAGGCATGATTGCCCGTCGAAAATGGATCGCTTTGACACCGGCGTCGGTATTCGAACGTAATTAACTGCGGCTGGGGAGGGAAATGTAATGAGGACCACATTCAGGCAATGCAGGCTATTTAAAAAAAAATAAAATATCAATCTCTGAAAATCCTTCTGAGTTGAATCTTTGTTTTTTGTGTTCATGGGCAGTGATTCCCAGAATTAAGAAATGAACACGGATTGAGAGTAAATCAAGGGATTAGATATGGGCGATTCTACGATAACGAGGATAATCGTATTGGCCTTTTGAGGTTATAATGATAATTGGGCAAATTCATTACAAACCCTGGTAAAAATTGGCGATAGGAGCTGCGTTTCAAAATACCATAGGAGTTCTTACAGCCGACTGAAGAAGGCGATAGAAAATCATATAGCTGGCTGTAGAAAGTGGAAAAAATCACACGGCCGGGCTACACGAAGCGATAAAAAATTAAATAGCCGGGCTATAGTCCCTGGCGCCGGGCTTTACACTTTATCGCTTGGCTGTTGCTTTTTCGCCATCGGCTATAAAAGGCTATAAGAAATTGTGTAGAAATTCGTGTGCTTTGTAAATCCTTAAGTTTGTGCGGAATCACCATAATATTTACAAAACGCACATTATATTTTCCTTTACTACATATTTGTTTTCATCAATTAAAATGAGAATGATCCATACAAAGTGTGCAGACATTTCAAAGTCATGAGATGAACACCGCTGACTCCACGAGATTAAATATTAGAGCCTAACACAGAGCGGAGCGGCGGCGCACTGGCGCCTACAAACCTAACAGGGATACTTCACGCATTGCGCAATGCGTGAAGTATCCCTGTTAGGTTCGTAGGCGCCAATGCGCGTTCCGCGCTGGCTGCCCGCCCGCCGCGCCGCGCCGCAGCGTACCACGGCGCTTGAAGCAACTATTTCACACCAGAGGTATTGCACAGTATCGTACGAAATTGAAGGCGCTCCAACATATTAGGAACGGCAGGCATCCTTCAAAAGCACGGAGCTTCCCTCGCAAATTAAATCAAGATACTACGGCCCAAAAAGAGAGCGGTAGTCCAAAAACTCACTAAGTCCTAGCATCCGTAATTAGTAACGTTTAGCATACACTTTATCGTCAGGCTGTTGCTTGTTCGCCATCGGCTATAAAAGGCTATAAGAAATTGTGTTGCCGGCTATAAAAGATATTGGAAATCTTACAGTCGGCTGTAGGTCTATGGTATTTTGGAACACAGATTCCTCTGCAAACTTTTACCAGGGAACTAATACGTTGTTGTTGAAAATCTTTATGTCCAAGTGACTCTGTGTGGGTTCACGTTGAAGATTTTTGAAGAATTCTCACTAAGTACTGTTAAGATATTGAGACCACAAAATGTTGCGTCGGTCACGTTCCATAAAATGCATTTCCAAGATAATATTTGGCGATATAGAAATCTCAGTGATGATCATTTATCAGATTGCTTTGCATTTCATGTGTGTATGATTGCACGGTAACCAATAATAAGAATTTCAACGGTGATTGCGTATTTTTTTGATGAATCAGTCCCACAATTTTAAAAACGCAAGTGCCAAACTCATGATACATATATTATACTCTTTTCGTCATTTTGAAATTAGGTGCGAAGGTTCCCTCAACTAGAAAAAGTTGGTGATAAATGATTGTTACAAGATCAACCTTTAGATGAACTATATAGTTTGTGTGAGTTATATTCATGAGTGATGCCAGTGAGCCAGGAATGATTTTTGAGAGATTATACCGCAAGCAACATAGTGATAGCACTAACTAAGCAGATCTGTGATTAAAAAGGAAAGAAGAATCAAGAAGGCCCATAATATTGATTGTTCCTCCCCTTAGCTGTAAAAATATATCCATTGATCGCGAGATCGGCAATTCAGTAAAGGCAAGAGATGTCAAAACGCCTTCATTTTAATGTGTATGCAACTCGAGCATCAGTTGTATCGAAGTGCTCATATCTACGTTCGTTGCGTCGCATGTGGCAGCGGCATTGTCTCATATTCGTTCGTGAATGGAACGCAACTATCCTTTTTAGTTCGTTCCTTTTTTAATGAAAGGGACCATTGCAGCGATTTTTAAACACCAGTGTAATTATTCCTCGGAAAGACGCAAAATTACGAACAATATCAAAAGATAAATCGACTGGTTTTTTTTTTTTTTTTTTTTTTTTTTTTTTTTTGCAGCAAAAACACTCAAAATTTGCTGACCTGTGGATCAATGTATTCCTTCGGACTGGCGTCTAAAAATCCTGGAATCGCTGTATAGTTTTAAAAAAAATGTATACTTAACAGATGGACAGTTTGTTGAGGTATAAAATGTTATAAGAAAACCCACCAAAATAGCTCATGTTTTAAGAAGGTGACGGGTCAAAAAATTTCCTGTAATCCACGTCGCCAACAGTTTTACAAAAAGATTTGGGTAAAACAAATGAAACGCCAGGAATGTCAATTTAGTGTTTTTCTCTGACAAAATTATCTGCCAGAAATAACACATGATTCTACGTCTTAATTTTTTATATTTTTTTTCTGTTGCAGATGATTCGAGATCTAGTGTTATTCACTCTGCTTGTCCATGCTCATGGATACGTCTACCCAAAGAACTCCCACCACAATCAGCACCAGCACCAACATCACCACAGACCTGCGAGGCAAGGACCACCCCCACACCCCGCAATGGCCAAGTACTACCAGGTGCCGAAAGGCCCCGGCGCACCCAAGTACCCACACCCACCCCCACCACATTGGCAGAATAGGGGTGCACCCCCTAACCACGGCCGCCCTGGGGGGAGCCCCGTGGGGCCCGCGCGTCCCGGCTACTACGGACCCCCGAAGAACGTAGTCCCCCGATCGCCGCAGCCCTACCTCCACAAACCGCCAAACTTCATCCCCTTGGGCAGCCACTACAAATCCCCCGTGCCAAGCCACCGCCCCAAGGAGCCCGTCTACGCTCCCACGTACCACGCCCACCCTCCACCTCCACCCCAACCCCACTCCCGATATCACGACGACGAACGCGGACCGATCAGAACCATCCCCGCCCCCAACCTAAACCCCGCAGACAAAAACTCCCAACACTACGATTACCCCTCATCCGTACCGGAAGTGTCCCCCCACATTCACGCCCAGACTGCTCACCTGGAATCCTTCAACGGCTACCAAGTCACCGAGGACCCCAGCTTGCACAAACCCCACTCCGGCCAGGACTCCTACTTCGCACCAGACCCTGACCCCCACGTGCCGACCCTCAAGGTTCCCCCCACTACCGACCCTCACTCCCTCCCCAGCAACGGAAAACTACCCCTAGATATCGCGCTCCAGCAGGAGGTCGACCAGTCGAACCGCTTGACCGCGCAAGAGCTTTTCAACCTCATGAACGGCTTCCACCCGGGTACCGGTGGGGTCAGCGTCGTCCCCCAGTACGTCCCCGCCCAAGCCTTCCCCCAGATCTACCCCGCTCCGGCGATAATCATGCCCGTGGTCGCGCAGAACCTCGACCTCCAGAATCTGGAACCCCAAGCCATGCCGAGCAACTTCAGCCCGCAAATGGAGACCTTCAACTACGACGAGAGGACTCAGCAGGGCGCCCACGGAACCGACAGCTTCCCAGAGGCCAGCTCGATCGACATGCACCGCGAGATGGAGAAGCAGGCCAGCCAGCGCGCCAATTTTTTCGCCAAACCGGAGGAGAAAGCGGAGAAGAGCCGCTTCTACAACGCCAACAACGACAACTCCGGGGAGAACGATGAAGGGGTGGCCAGCAACCAGGTTGACTTCGAGCCTGCAGAGCGGGCAGCCGCCAAGAAAGCCCAGAAGCTCCTGTCGAGTAAACACGGCGCGGATACCTTGGCCACCCTAGCGCAGGTCCAGTCCTTGAGTAGCGAGGAGGACAGCCACGAAGAGCGAAAGACCACGCCCGATTCATCTCCTATCTTGGACATCGTCCGCGGGGAGGTTGTCGAAGACGAGTCAGAGAAGCCACCGCGAGAAATCGTGGAGGAAACCAGGCCGGTGTTCAACCCGAGCCACTACCAGAACGCGTACAACTCCCAGTACAGCGAGGCCGATCTCCAGAAGAACACATCGAGGGAGGAGGCCAGCAAGACACGTGTCGTGGAGATGGCCTACTCGTCCAAGATCACCGGCGCCAAGGACTACGCGCAGAACCACAAGGAGGAGGCGGACAGCTCTTCCTCAGAGGAGGACTCCAAGGAGAGTCGAGATGGCGGGAGCTCCATGGAGATCATGGAGGCGACCGACTCTGGAGACGGAATCAAAGTGATCTCTCTGGAGACGAGTTATAGCAGTAGTGAGCCCAAGCCGTTGAACTCCCATTCGCAGCTTCCGTACGGAGCAAGGCTAAGGGTCAAGGATTCGTGAAAGCTCAGCCCTTTTTTCTTGAAAAAGACGACTGATTAATTTAGTGTAAATAGTCTCAATGGTGCCAAATGAGAGAATGTGGTGCAAGAGATCGGTCGGCCTGTCTAAAGAGTTTGAATCCTTTGTCGGAATCACTCTCTGATTGGCGTGAGAAATTATGTGCTCTATTGTACTGCCTTCGCCCTTCTCTCTCTTTTTAAAGGTGTCGCTCAAGTCTCTTTTAAAATTTGGAATCAGATTTCAAAAATAATTTGAATTTAAAGATCTCTCGAAAGGATTTACCAGGATAATAAATCCTCAAATGAGGGCCGTGTAAAATAAACTGTAGACAAAATGTGCTCCTCTATACATTTCCAGGGCCGGATTTACCTATAGGGCACTGGGGCACTTGCCCATAGCGGCAAATTTTGAGGGGCGGCAAATTTTGGCACTGGATTAATTGAAAGTTAAAGCGAGAAAAAAGGAAAAAATGGAGACAGAGACGGAGCGAAGTGAAAAATGAGCGGCAAAATGTATGAAGGAAGGAAGTTGACGCTTGACGGGAGCGGCAAAGCTGCCGCCCCTCAGGTCCGGCCTTTGAGCGCTAGGATGATCCTTCGTTGGAGTGATACTAAACAACACGGCAATTTTAAACATCGGGGCAGACTTGATAATCAATTTAGACGTTGATGCTCTGGTTGACAGCTTTGCTAAACTGAAAACCCGGAGAAAAATTTTTTAACCTGATTTTCCGAAAATACATTGCAACTAATACATTGAGCTACACTAGCTTCAAATTTGTCTCCACATTTTATTTTTGTCTCATCCATCCATTCCATTTTATATATTCGCGGCGCATTTTGAAGCAGCTACGCGCACGCGCCCAGGCGGCGCACGAGGGGGGGGGCAAGATGAGATGGCGTGGGAAGTTGGGAGTGCGAAGAGGGGGAGGGGGAGGAGGGGATACTGTTGACAATATAGTGGCGAAATATTGCAGACCCAGGGGCGGCAAAATGTAGCTTGCCCAGGGGCGGCAAAAAGCTAAATCCGGCCCTGTACATTTCTCCCTAATTTCTCTTCTTTCCAAGGCTCAGTAATTTTTTTTAAAATGGGCCTGTTGCAAACTTTTGCTAGAGCAGAATGAAGAGTTGTTTCCTATAGATAATGCCTCAAAAATCACGATGAGCGCATCGGCAAAGTCTGAAATGCACTCATAAATTCACAATCTGCGTAAGAAATTTGCGTTATTTTGAGCTTCCCGCTTCAAAAACGATACTACTGCACAGGTGAACATTTTGTTAGAGGAGTCGCTCCATCGTCGGCAATATTCACCATGGCCGACGCTTGCGAAGTTCCTCGCGTAATTCGAGGAGAGTTCAAGGTCAGTTAAGGCGGGCGAGGAAAATATGAACGTAAACACGCCGATTGTTAAATGGTTTAATCCTGTTCAGGTGTTATCTCGTCCCATCACACGTGTTTTGGCGGACTGGCGTCGGCCATGATGAGTATTTACGCCAATGGAACGACTCCTCTAACAAAATGTTCACCTGTACCGTAGTATCGTTTTCGATGCGGGAAGCTCAAAAAACCGCAAATTTCTTACGCAGATTGTGAAGTTATGAGTGCATTTCAGACTTTGCCGATGCGCTCATCGTGATTTTTGAGGCATTATCTGCAGGATACAACTCTTAGTTTTGCTCTAGCAAAAGTTTGCAACAGGCCCATTGTATTGTTATTTTAACATGCTCAAATTATGAGAAAATAGGAGAGAGCCCGAAACTTGAATACTTCTTCACACCTACTGTCCGCGAGCATTGGCGGATCCTGCAAATTGGCAGCATTGTTTTTCTCCATTTGAACCTATGGAAATGTATCGATTCTTGGAGGGGCCAGGTGCTCCGACAAGAATCGATTATTTAACAGAGGTTTAAAAGGAGGTGTTACCAAATTGCTGGATCCGCCTCTGTCCTCGGTAATGCGTGTAATGGACCACTAGACAAGGTACGAATTTCAGCATTCTGATACATGTTTCTTAACCAAAATTTCACGTAAAATGCGATGCGCCTGGCAAAAATTACCGAAATTAACTCCTTACGAAGATATTTAATGATTCTTGATGAGTTAATTCAAACCACCCGCTCATGAAAACTCAATGCTCTACGTGATTCACATCGCGCGCTAAACGTTTATCATGATAGTCTCTGCGATATAAAAATCTGAAAACCTCAATCTTGACGGTTTGGCTCAGCTATAGTAAATTTCTTGTGGTTTGAACACATGATGGGAAATGAACATTGCTCGATTGAGCGAAGCTTGCTGAAACCGTTCCAGTGCGCGATTTGACTCAAGTAGAGCTTTGAGTTTCTTGTGAGCGGGCAGTGCAAATCCCTCGTAACCAATGTGAAATAAAAACGTTAATATCTTCGTTAGGAGTTGGTTCCAGTAATTTTTGTTGCACGAATCGTGTTCTAAGTGAAATTTTGATAAAGAAACATGTATCAGATTGCCTAAATTCGTACCTTGTCTAGTGGTCCATTATTCCTTGTGCGTTGGAACGCAGGTAACATTTTAGCAGGTCTGTGTTTTTTTCTCTGCCAGAGGAGTTAGTTACCTTTGGCCTTACCTCCTAAAGTATAGTTTTACAATAGGAAATATGAATAATACTTAGATTGAAAGGAATATTCAGTTGCGGCACAGACCTCTCATCTGGAAAACAGTGTCCACTATTTGAAATGATGGACAAGCATCAAGCATTTACGCGTCAAGCATTTTAAATGCAAAATAGTACCTGCTAATTTGATGTTGAGAGAAATGGTAAAAAAAGGAAGAAATATTATTTCACCAAAAAATATCATGGCTCAAGGCAGCTGTGTTGTTGTATTACAATGATCGAAATGATAGATGCTGAATTTCTAATGTAACATAAAAGTACGCAATTAAGAACCTAGAATTTTCACATAAACTAAATTCCAATAACTTTCTGATGAACATGATATTTTTAACTGAATGCAAATGTAAAAAAAAGTGCCAAAAAATTGACAGCATTTAATTCTATTAAAAACGTTCAGGCACACCTTCCTCTAACGACAAGTAGTATGTTTTATCAAGTGGTTAGTTTCTTTTCTAAGTAAATTCGTTAAACTGGGTTTTTGAAAAACTCAATTTGTTTTTCTTTGTTAAGCGAAAGTCTGTGGCTACTTGTTATCCCACATTGTTAAATAAATTACTCAGAATGTAGTTATTTAATTTATATTTTGTTTTTTTTATTAGTGAATCTGAGGAGGTGTTTTACATTATTTTAATATTTCATCACCATTGTTTCCAAAATCCCCCCTGAAGTTTCCTCTTTTTATGCAATTTGCTCCAAAAATTGATTGGATTATACTCTCTGAATAAAGAAAAAATAAACAAATAATGCATACTTTAGTATCTAGTCCTTACAACCTGTCGCTCATTATTTGAAAGTTCTTAAGTAATTCAGCTTTCAATGCATTTAACAATTAGAAAAATTTGAAACTGTTTCCTGTAAATATGATCATCTCACAGTTAAGTACTTTCTACTTCCACAAATTTACTCATGAGTGTAAAAAGGCAATTCATATGTGGTTCTGATTTTAATTTTTTTTTCTAAAAATATACTGTCTTGTTAATTTACTCCTGGTTATTTTGCAGTGTTTTTCCCCCTTTAATCCTTTTCAAACAGAAATCATATTTATATTTTCCTTCGTTTAGAGCATTTCAGCACTTTTTTTATTTGAAGAGTAAAATTCAAGATTTGCAATAAATAAAATTGTAGGAAAATGAATGTAACAAAATATTTATTCATAGTAAAAGACATAAAATTAAAAGAGACTTTTAGAAAATATAAGATTGAGAGGCAAAGTTGAAAGATCATTAATATAAAAAAAGAAGAAGGAAAGAGATGGAGTTTTAAATCCAAAGGAGGTAGTCCTGATGGTGGTATTCAGTTATGATCAAATTTTTTACAACGCTCATGAGGGAACCTGATACAATTACATTAAATGAGATTTTTCAAAACTTGGACGAGACTTTGATGAGTTTGTTACTCATTGAAAAAAGAACAAAATAAGTGGTTGGCTGAACAACTGATGAAGGTTTTCATACAAGATGATAATCAAAGGGTCCAAGGCATTGAGAAGTTAAGTACGTATAATACTCGAATTCTGAGAAAAACTGGTTTAACTTGAAAAATTACATGGGACTTCATGACTTTGAAACGTTTAGACTGAAGTTGTAAACTTGGGGTGTAATGTATGTAAAATTTTCCCTTGATGAAAGTAATTTCTGGCTAAAAAATCAACTCACTAAATGCAATTTCTTACACTGATAAGATATTCAACACATAAAATACGAAAATCACTTCAAAGATGTAGTATGGCAAACTTCTTTCACTTTATTTTTTCCACAAAAATAACTCAGTGCTCATTGTTCACAGAAATTCCACTGCCTCACAATATCCCTCAACCAATGTATGACATATGCTTAAAGATGCGTTGAAGTAAGAGAGATGACTATGAACACAGCCCAAAACCTCGTAAAATTTCATTCGCAGAAACAATTTCCGCAAAGATGCTATTTCAAATTGTTTCACATTCTCACATCACAAACCTTTTAAATCAATCATGGTGTCAATGGCAAATAAAGAAACATTTCACCATAAGGGTACAGAAGTAGGATACAAGTTTGCTTCTGCTGAGAATTATAACTTCCAATATACAATCCTCACTAATTATCCTCATTTGTACATCCCCGAAAATAAAATTGATTTCTTGCAGAAGAATACAAACTAACTAACATCACAATTCATTTCAATTGTCCTCTTCCTCATAACATTGAGCCGCTGCTTATAATTGTTGAAGTCGTGAGTATATTGAAATGGAGGCAATGCATACTATCCCTTGAAAATTGCACCAGAATCACTTAAAACAACAGGGCTTCATTTTTCAATAAGGAACTACTGTCTCCGGCTCATTTTAGAAACAGCATATGTACCAATAGTTTCGCTGTGTGGATAGATGTTTGTATGGATGAGCCAGAAATAGTAGTTCCTTGTCCCAAAATGCAGTCCTTCTAAATAATACATTCCTCCTCTTACAATTAAGCTAAGTGCTGAACTATTTAAGATACAATTTTAGTTTGAAAAAATGATCACATATAAAGGAGCTGATTAGACTTGATCTGCGCATAAACAGTTGTTTTGAAGGAAAAAAAATGTCTAACACTGCACAGTTAGACATAAGAGATAGCTCTTAGCAGACGTTTAAGCGTAAAGTTTAAAAGACTCGCCTCATACACATTTCCTCAATTACAAGAATACTTTTAAGATCAACTTTTACATCAAATTACACAATAATCAACAATGATGTTCAAAAGAAAAATCCATTTTGTAATCCGGGAGGTAACTGGAAAAAGGCCCATGATAGCCATTTGAGGAAACAGGCTCTAAGTTTCAGTTTCATTTATTATGCTAGTAAATTATAAATAAGAATAAGTCATTGAAAAAAAAATTATTGCACTTGTTGTCAATTTTAAGTTTCCACGATGAAAGTCCTCTCATTTAAAGTTATGTTTAAGAGATAAGAAGGTCCTCTTGCATTGAACAACATCCTCAGTTCGAGTGCATGTTTAAAGATATTATTTAAAGGAAACATCCCGCGTCAAACGTTAAAAGTATATTTTATCATGAAAAACCGTGAATTTAAGGATTTAATGCTTAAATACGAAAACTACATACCTTAATTGAATCGGGACGTGCAAAAACCACTGATGTCTATTTTTCCAGTCTTCAGTTTTTTTGAGTCGATACGGACATAAAAGAGATAAAAGGACTCGTTTTGGGATTAAGGTAACCCGAAGACGAGTATTGACGCCACTTTTGTGGTTGCATTCAACTCTGAAAAGTGTTATCAACTCAAAAAAACTGAAGACTGGAAAAATGGACATTAGCGGTTTTCGCATGTCCCGATTCAACTGTAACTTTTAAAATTAGCGATTATAATTTATTATTCTCTGCAAAATGAATTAAAATTTTCCCTTGAAATTGTATACAATTTCTTTAGAATGCGTGAAGAAAATGTCAATAGGGACTGTAAGTTAGTTTTCCTTTTTAGAAAATAAAACATGAGTAGAAGGTTATAATGTCGCAATCTCAGATATGCATTTTTCGACTTCAGCCATCATTACGACACTTATTTACAAATTGAAAGGGACAAGAGAAATAACACTGAAAATATGAACTCCTAGACTCATAGAGAACAGAGGAAACTTAAATAGATACTGTCAAAAAACACTTTGATGCAGAGGTCATATTGGGTGTTGCGTAGGTCCTACAAATGATCTCTTCACCTCTACTAAAATCCGCTAATCTTGCTCAATTTTTGACATAGAACGATAAAATTTTGTAAAGATATTCCATTGGATATGGAAAATTGGATGAGTAGTTTCCCACAAACAGACCATTTGAGCCCTGAGGGCTTTCTTGTGCCTACCTCCTTAATTGTAATGCAACACGACAATATAAACCATTTTTACGATCGGATTTTTTCCTTACAATGACTACACAAATTTTTCTCACATTTTTTCTTACCAAACTTACAAAATAAAAAACTTAAGATTCTAAAACTAAGCCAACATTTAGAAAAAATATATAAATAAGTTTCACTTTCTTAGGAAATTACCTCCAAATTAAGTGTGTTAAGCAAAGAAGCCCCAAAATTGTTTTGATCCAACACAAATACATAATAACATTGTAGAACATTAAACGTAAATTAAAAAAATAAGATAATTCTTTCTTCCTCAAAATTAACCTAAATAATCACAGTTGCTGATTTCTCATGGTTTTAAATTCGGACTAGTTAAAGTATACCATTATATGTTGAAGCTTCCCCTTCTGATGGGTAACACATTTTAAATTTAAAGAGAGAATTTCCAACTCAGGTAAAGAAGGCCACATACACTACACCAGTTCCGGAGGGTCGTCCAGGGAGTAAGTTTACCCACTCAATATCTCCTCACTAAGATACAGGAGAAAATTTGTCCAAAAAGCCACAACTTAGCTTTTTAAGGCACTGTAGAATTTTAAATTTGATTCAATAGAAATCTAAAAAAGTTGGTTTTTCTGAACCGACCTCCTCTCCACGCAGGTCCCAAATAATGGAGTATCATCAGCAAATTCCCTGCTGCATCATCCCTTACTGCAAGATGATTCAATTCTAAACAATACACATGGTGTAAAAGCCTATGAACCTTGAATACCTCCCTTCAGGATGAGATTATCTATTATTTAAAATATAAATTCTTAAATTAATTGCAATTTTGAAAAGCTTTCAAAACATCTCCAGATCAGATAGTAACGATCACTTGGACATTTTTTTCCAGTCTCCTAATGTAAGTTAATTATTATTTGATCATTAAAGGTTCAATTTTTTCTGGAGTATATCAGGGTTGTTTCACAAGGTCAATCAGTACAAAATCAAAATGCTTATTATGATCTGAAACCACGAGAAATCTCAGCTTTTACTGACACCTCAAAACCGATATCTATGGATCAACAAGACACTTCAATCAATTCAATGACAGCATTCAATGAATTCTTCTTACACCAGGAATATTTTAGGAGAAGTATCTTATCTTTGTGGAAACTAAACTAGTTTAGACTAAGGAAAAGAGGTGTGCGTAAAAAAGGAAGTACATATTTGATTTTAACATTCCTTTCGAATGTAATATTTTATGTGATGATTTCAAACCTTAAAGAATACTGAATTGAATTAGAGTGATTTAGTATTTAAGGAAATGCCAGTCCGCGGAAAATATATAATTTGGCAACAGCAAGATGTTAGAAAATTGAGTTATGTTGCATTAAATTAATATGTTAACACAATAAAAAATTGACATTAGTGCAAACTCTGAAGTTTAACGTTCAATGATCATCTCAATAACACCCTTTTGAGAAAACAATGGATAAAGCCATCACAGGGGTTTTTTTTTTAAAGCAGAAGTTTGGTTCTCCATGGACAAAGGAATTTGCCATAAGAGAGAATCTAATAACCCTTTACTAAATTGGACGTATTTATGCTGACAGCAACTATGAGCATGGGGTTTGTGTGCAACATAGTTCTATTTAACATACATGCGTCCAATTATGGGATACAGCCATTAAAACACAAATATTAAACACATCAAACTGAGCCATAGGAAATTTTCAGTGCTGTATAATTTTTTTCTTTTGGGGTGGATTCAGATTATTTTTCAATTTGAGCTTGTCTTAACAATAAAACCAAGTTTTTGGGAGAGAAACTTAGTGGTCATGCACATTAAGATCACAGTTAATTCTTCTCTGCACAGAGAGCAGTGCTGAAACGAAGTAAAATTTGTACACTAAGATATGGGTAAAAAGAAATAATACATTTACCGCTAGAACTGGAGCATTGACGGAGACCCCAAAATTTACAGGGGCTAACGACTGGACTAAATTGTGATGAAGAAGCCTTTTTTGTGGAGAGCAAATGCTATTAACATCCACAAGGCTGTAGCCCAAACATTCATGAACAAAAACTCAAAATGCGAGGAAACAGAGTGAGGTTTCCAGCTCCAGGGAAAAACGTCATGGGTCACATCGTGCCCTACGTATAACAGAATTGCGTTCATTCCTGGAACAAACAACAGATGCTGTTATCACTTTTTAAAACAAGCAATTTAATTCTACATAGCATATTGAAAGCTGAATTCTTATTTCAAGGATCCTAAATAACCTAGACAAGGAGAGGTTGGTAGCTGCACTTATTAAATTAATCAAACTTGAAGAAATCTTTGGGTCTCCTCCTTCTAATAAAAAAAAATAAAAGTAATCTTTTATGCTGTAATTTTGCAAAAAATTACTAGTTTTTCAGTGCCGCAACAAAGTGATAGCGATTTTTACTCTCTCTAAATTCGTTTGAATTTTCCTTTTTTTCCTGAATAAAACTTTATATTCCGTGACCATAAGACTCCAATACCCTGTCTTGTACTTCACAGACAGCAGGGTAGGGGAGAGACATGGCCATTCCGTTAAAGTCAGTACTTCCTGTTCGGCTGTGTTGCAATAAAATCATGAATCATAAAGTGCGCGACCGTCAGTATCACCTATCCGTGGGAGATGGAAACAACAGAGCCCTACTCAGTTGGAACATGGCTGACTCCCAAAAATTCCGCGCCCAGTAGCGTCTGCTATAGTTGTCAATTGATGCAACCTATTGTTGGCTTAATTGAGGGCCGCTGAGCCATGCGGGAATATGTCAAGTGTCAGTTGTATGAGTCAAGGAGCACATTCTAACTTTGAGGTACTTGATGACAGTTGCCAGTGCCTCGGTCCATCTACCGGTGAGCCCAGTTTAATCTAGAGTCCCTACATACTGAGAGTAAAGACAACGCGAATCCATTTCTGATTGGTTCCCGTATTCCAGGCCTCCACAGTGTCACACATGGGAATAAAGATTACATTTCTACCAATTGCAATGATTATAAACTGGAATGAACAAGGGAATTGAGGGAATGGCAAGGAACAAACGGAATGAGAGAAGGAACGGAGACAGAAATTTAATAGTGAGTTGATCAAAGATTATGAAAAACGTTCAATTTGTGTAATCTTCATTCCCATTTGTGACATCCATGAGCTGCCTTGTCTTAACTCTCTCTATAAAGGGACTCTATTCTAGTCCAGTGCAACTGCTAATTTTAATGTCAACAGTATTACACATGTATCATATTTTGTGGAGCATTGCTTGACATACATAATTAAAAACTACTTACCAGCTTGTCTAAAGGGTGTGCCAGACCAGAGCTGGAAATGATCGATGAGGAGGGATAAAGCAAAGAAAATAAAGAATGCTGAGCTGGCTGTGACCAGGACAAATGAAAACGACCACAAGTTCTTATTGATGGGGATGTATCCTCCTTCCTTAGCGAATTTGCACTGAACCGCAGCCATTGCAACCTAAAGAAGATGAAGCAAGTCATTAATAAATAGACCTAGAAAAAATACTGTAGAAATTACCCCCTTGTTGCTACTTGGTCCAATCCAAAACAGAATTTGTGCTTTAACATTTTACTTGAACCAATATTTTAAACAAGGATGTGAAAACTAAAAGAGTTGCAACATTGCCGCCATAGTAAAATGCAGATTATTGTACCTAGTTGTGCATTGGCGTAATTACATTGACAATAAGGAAATTTTGAAGCGTTTAATTTTATTCACAATTCAAGGACACCACAAACCGATATTTGTAGGCAGTACGTCCTATCTATCCTCTTTCCTAGCTGTCACATAAAGTTCTTCTTTCAATAACTATGAAAATATAGGACTGAACATACCTTTCCACACATTTTCAACACATTTCCACATTCCCCACAAACCTGCCCTCAAAGTTTTTAAGTTTAAAAATTAGAATCTTCCTCAAAAGTTGTAAGCCCTTATCAAATGTCATGGACACCTCTCTTTAATCTATAGCTTGGATTAGTACTTCATACAAAAATGCGAGAAATTGACCTGATATAAACGGCTAGTTTTCTATTGAAAGTAAGTTTTACTCAGGGAGAACATTGAAAGTATTAAGTACTGCTCACAGAATACCGATTAGTAGGAAAAATTGTTAAAATTTCACTCACTGTTAACACACTCCAAAAAATCCAGCGTTTCACCCTTGCATCTGTTGATTGGTAACAGTGTAAAATTCTCCCTGCTTGGACACCCAAAAACATGAGGAAAACTGTTGGGATAACTCCGAGTAAGCCTGAAAAATATCAATTGGAATTAAAAGAGAGCTTAAGATCCAAAACCAGCTTTGTAAAATTACTACGTATTTTATAATTTTTTTTTTTTCTCCGTTCATCGGCATCAAGAAGAAAATAAGATTCTCAAGCTTGGTAAAAAAACAAGAGGAGCTAGATAGGGTACAATATTAAACCATACAATGCATATTTTGATAAAAAAATTTCATGAGGAATATTCATCCTAAATCTAAAGAAAAAGCTTTTTCCAGTGCATCAATACACACCTCCTGCTTAAAAAAACCTGAAGTCTACTTGAGTTGAATTTATCACTAAACTAATTTCAATGTGTCTTACAGAAGAGGTATTTTTCTGTGCATTAAGATTTTCTTGAAAAGTTTACAAGCTCTGTAAAGTAGAAAAAGGTAGAAAATTTGCTGGACAAAATGCTGTTCTCAAGCTAATCGTTTCCTGGCTAATTGTTTTCAGTGCCATTTTTGCCCCTTATTGATTTTAGATTCATGGCGAGAGAGCAGTTTGAGTTGATTGATTTGGATGTAAAGTAAAAATGCTGTTTTCTTCTATGTGAGTAAATATCAAAATGTTCCATGCGTTCAATATCTTTTGATTGAAATATTCAAATAGCATTGCATGTCTTGTAGGAGTCGAATTCTTCTCGTACCTGACGGTCCATGTGGTACATGCAAATCATTTCAACAGTAAAAGTTTAACAATGAACCACTAGACAAGGTACGGATTTGCGCATTTGGATAAATGTTTACTCTTCAATGTTTCACATGGAATAGAATTCACACGGCAAAAATTATTGAAATTAACTCTTAACTAAGATATTGAAGGGTTTTATTTAGCACTAGTTACCAAAAATTTAAATGGTTACTCACAGGAAAAACCAGAGTCTAGGCGAATACATCAAGCACATTATGACGATTTTGGCAGGCTTTTTAAACAAGCAGTGTTCTTTCCCCACTCTGTGTTGTTTAAAGTATAAACAGTAAGCGACACCGGAAAAGCCGAGATTAAGAATGCCAAATTTACATACTACAAAGACTGATACAGTAACATTATAGTCTAATTCACACTGTTAAACTTTTCATTCAACTTTTCTTCAAACTTTTAAGTATTTGTAAACATTCGAAACATTTTTATTCTGTAAATCAGTTCATTTAAAAATGAAACTTTCACTGTTACCTTCTGGATCGAATGGGATGGTCGATTTATAAATTTTGGCCGATGTGGGTCGTTGGTAAAGATGATTTTCTCCAAAGACCAACCGGTCGATATAGCCAGTAGCTCCACCAGTGCAGTTGAAGAAAGCGGAGTGGTTGTGGAGCCCACCTGGACCAAAATAGCCGGTTGGGCAACCCGGAACAGGTAGAAAGAGAATAATAAGAAAGTACGTTCCAAGCAAGCATTTGACCACGAACCATTGAGCTCTTGATTCCAGCATGTCTGGCATGAATATCCATCTCGCAGACTGGAAAAAAATGGAGCCAAGTTGAAGTTATTGCATGAGATGACTACAAATTGATACTCACAATTGTTTTAAACTTGATACTGAAGAAGAATTTTGAAGGCCATAGAAGTCCTGACTAAAAACACAAACCATTCCCCAAATTCAAAATCAGAGGGTAAGCTATGAACCCTGTTGAACTTGGAGGGTTGAAACTTTAATAATTCATGTAAAGCTCTCAAAATTTCAATAATGAATGGTATGGGGTACAGTTTTGATTGAACAAATTGGATTTCTGAGAAAATGGGACCTCACTCACATTTTGATCGACCGTTTGTTTCTCCATGAAGCAAGTCTCAATGGATGCTACTATAAAGTAGGCCAAGCCCAGCCTCTGCAGAACGCCAGGGAGCCTCATTTGTGAGAGATCGTTTTGATGCTGAGAGTTCAAAATAACCCCTAGAATAATGAGGATGCACGCACGGCGGAGAACACTGATGAATATTTGCTTCCTTTTGACACAAGCTCGAAGCTGCGATCTCAAGGATATTGCTATTCCAACACCCATGATCCAAGTAAACCTGCAGAGTAAGAATTCATTATTAATCACCAGTAAAAATTGCAGAATGCTTGAATTTTCACTTTCTTAGACTCAAATATAATCACTAACTAGGTTTACAACGTAAACAAAAAAAGAACTTAGTACCAGCATAACAAACTGTGAGTGTAAAATTGAGGAAAAAGGGTAGTATAAAAGTATGTCAAATCAAAACTAAGATACTCTGCTCATGAAAGTCTTTTTAAAGGGCTTTGATTCTATTTATTCGGCAAGTCAAGTACAGTAATTCCAAATCATACAGTGTATCACAGGTTGTATCGTAGCATCAATCGTAGTTTCTATTTAAAAACTATACAATCATTTCTAACATCAAGAATATTTTTATTTTTGCTCATTAAATCTTTAGAATTGGAAGAAAATCAAGATAACAAGAGCTGATGGTAAAAAATGGAAGAGTGGTGGTGTATAAGGTACTTAATGACCTCAAAGATGGAGAGTTGCCACTTTATGGCATAAAACATAATAGATGAATTAACTCAACTTACCATGGAAATACTAGATCTGCAAAAGTCAAACCATTCCATGCTGAGTGTTTAAAGAACCAGTACTTTCCTCCGCCATAGTTGACGAACATCATGAGACAGATTGCAATCCTGCAAGTGTTAAAGGAAAACTGAATATTATTTTCAATAGTGTCTACATCAAAACAAAGAGAGCTTATGACAAACAGAAAATTCCAATAGTGATTGTTGAATAACATCTCTTGACAACAACTATTGATACAGAATAAAAAATCATTTAAAAAGTGTTTTGCACTACTGTTTTATTTCTCAGTATAATTAGTGGACACAGCAGTTGTCAACTGTTGATTTTAAATATTTCACCAGACTCTGGTGTATAACCAAATGTACTTTATTCAAATTTCAAATAGAAGACGGTTTTGGATTCCTGAAAGAAAATCAGGTTTCGCAACATTTTTCTATGGAACTGGATACGAAAATTTTACTAACACTCCTTGAAAATAAAAAAAAGAATCTGTTACCATGAACACGATTACGTGCATCAATGATTAGCATAAATTAGACAAAGCAGTTATTGATAATTACCCTCTAAAAGCATCGAGAGCTTTGACCCTGGCTTTATTTTTTTTCTGAGGTGTTGGGGGTTCTGTCCTAAGTAACACAGCAGAGTCTCCACCACTGCTCACGCTGCCAAGATCCTGAGTAAAAAATAAACAAAAAAAGTATCACTTTAGAGGATTACTTTTGTTCAGTCAATAAATGCGATGTTGAGGCCCGGTCCAATATCCTACATGTATTCTTTGCCCTTTATAGAACTAGAAATTTCTTTAAAATTGCTTTGAGGTTTTGCCTGATTTTATTCAACTGCATCGTCCCAAAATAACAATTTTTTTTAATACTTAAAAAATATGTACCGATGAAAAACTGAAATTGTGCCGCTCTGCCATGGGAGGACAGAAAACATTCTGATGTTGACCAGACAATCTTCAGAACTATTAATGGAAACTTTACATTACGTTACCACTCAGTTTTCGGTTTAAAAAATAAAAGATAAGAGAAAATTAGGCAACGTCTGATGTAGTTAGGCTAAATATGTCTAATGGGACTCTAGACGAGGTATGAATTAAAAAACTACACATGATGTTTTCTCTTCAAAATTTCTCGACAAAAACACACCACGGCATAGAAAGTCTGAAAATCAACTCCTCAGCAAGATATGAGTGTTTACAGGTATTTTTATTATACTTTATATATTTTCCTTTTAATACATGGGAGCTGCAAGGCTATGGTGTAGGTCATGGACACAAAGAAAATATCACAATTCAACTCGGCACTAAATAACAGAGGATATTTAAACACTTGAAGATGGCAATTACTAGAGCAGCTAAAAAGGACAGCTATTCATCTTGGAGGGTGTTCGAATTTAAGCCTTTCAGCACTGTAAGACGCATTTTTGAGGAAATGTTGCGCAAACTTATTTAGAAAAGAATTTACTTGGCCATTACAAAAGATAGATTTTCATTCCCAAGGAGGGGTATTAAACATTTGGATCAATGAGTACTTTACACTGTGCACTGTTGAGGACAGTCTAACCTTTGAATCTTTGATGTTTTTATATCTGCTGTTATAGGATTGGGCAAGAAAGAGTTCTTTAGGAGCAATCAACTTAGTAAAGATAGAAAATTGAATACACTCCAATTAACATTGGTTAAATGGCAAAAATACAAACGAAATCATTCTTATGATCTAACTTCCTTTTGATCTGCGTTAAAATATTTGCTAATATCTCATTCAAGAGTTAATTTCCAAAATTCTAGTTGTATGTTTCGTTTTCATTGTAAAATTTTGAAGAGAGTTCATGTGACATTGATTTCTAGTTCAGACTCTGTCTAGTGGTCCATTATAAAGAGAAGTATCCTGATTTGGCTAATCTAGTGACAGTAAAAATAATGGTGCTTTGGTCTGGAGAAAATGAAAGGCAAATAGGCCAGATGTTGACATCATATTCTACATAGAACATTATCAATAATTACGAAAATTAAATTCATTAATAAAGCGTCTGCTTTGATTGATCGAATGCATAATGAATTTGGTACTCACATTTCTGATTTCTGAGGATATTAAACTGCTACGTGATCGCCAAGACAAGAGGAAGACATGAGAGCATTTAAAAAGTTGGTATAGAATCAAACAGATCACATACGCTCCTATCAAGTGGAGAAAAGCTGAAAACAAAATTATAGAGAAAAGTTTATTATTCATGACAGGGTCAAATTAATTTGCAGGTAACTTTGAATCTTAACTTTCAAAATGAACTACTTAACGGCCAATTTCATATTTACGTCATCATTGAAATAACTTGAACAAAAAAAACAAAAAAAGAGGCTATTAATAATTTTAAAATGTTTTGCAATTTCTCATGCGACAACATTGACGAGCAAAATATTTGTTCCACCCAAACAGCTCACTCAGCTAAAATATACAGTTAAAAGATATGAATTCGAAGTTTGTCCACTGACGATGGTGCACAAAAAATAAAATGACAAACATGAATACTCACGGGAATAAATATTGTGTGGGGGTTCGATGGTTTCAACTGGTGAACAGGTATTATTTGAGATATTTAGTCGATACAAGCCATGTTCCTCAAAATGAAACTTCAAGCTAGAAAAAACAGTAATTAATCATTATCATTGTGCAGACATATGATGATAGGTGAGAAATGCAGAAAAGGGACACTTTAGATACTCAAATTACTTGATTCTACATTCTTTCTCATTCGATGTCTGAAGTAAGTGCCTCTGGAAAACTCCCCCCCCCCTCCCCCGCTTTTTGTCTCCTGCAGTAAAATTTTTTTAAATGTATTTAGAACCTGGTTGTCAAATACATGAAAGCAAAAAAATGGTGTAAATTATTGGTAGAGGCACATGGTACTTTAATTTTTTTTTTTTTTTAAATACAATTTCTCCCGAAGATCTAGGAAAACAAAAACTATATCTTCACCATTTGAAAAGAGGAATGTTATTTGATGTACCTTGAAATATACCCTCACCGAAATTATACATTCAGTTCATGAAATGGAATTTTTATGAACTCAAAGACACAGAGCAGTAATAAAAAAATTGAAATTTGACTGTTTGGAGAGTCATACATTATTAAGAAAATCAACAGAGGTATTTTTACAAATGTTTTATTTTTATTTATATTTTTCTTCTTTTTTAAACACCTCATTTACTTTTCATCCACTGTGCTTTCACATGCTTACTCATAAAAATCTTCATACAAACCAACTACAAAAGCCAAATTTTGAGAGAAAATAATAGTAAGAAATGGGAGAAACATGAAGTACTCACTGGCACAAGGGTTGGTCATCCCTGTCATCAACAAAGGCAAACTTCAACGGATAAGCTGTATTATTAATTTTGAAGTAATGATTCCCACCTTTCGCTGGTAAATGCCCCAACTCCTCTAGGTCACACTGTAAAATAAGGAAAATTATTCATTTAGTTCCAAAAACATTCATCAGTTATTCATAAGAGAAACCACTCTGAATCTGGCATGAACGCTACAGTTATTCGTCATTATTTGTATCTATTTGCGCTTTAGCTTCAAGATTTATTGAAAATTTGTTAACCCTATGCCCACCTCGTTTCAAAACACAGTTTGCAAATAAAGAGCATGTATGGTGTATTGCAAATCTTGAAAATCTTAACGGCAGTAGCACATTTTGTTATCTTGAAGTGGTATATTACGGTGAATATTTGACCAAATAAGCTAAAAAAGGTCTCATTAGAACCATATGTTGGTCAATCGTAACACTGTCAAAACCGGACGTTGACAACTTTTTTGTTCTCTAAAACAGTGATTGTTGGATTGCTTTCAAGACAACCTGGGTAGAAGAAAGCGTGCGATAGAATCATCCTTCATAAAGGTATTCCGAGGACTTCAGAAAACGGAATAGAATGAACTTTATGGTATTCGACCAGCCTTTCAGCCTTTGTCTTTTATCTAAATGGTAGAGAGTTGGTAGCACAGCAGCAAATGTGCCTTGTATATGGCGCATTGCACTAGACCTCAGAGTCTTTTGAGTAGTGTCTAAAAGATTCCATTGTGTGAGGGGTATGTTATTCACCACGTTGACAGGTGATGAAGGTTGAGAAGCTCTGCTGCTACCACATTGTTCACTCAATTCTGATTTTTTAAGTATCTTTAAATTCTGAACAGCGTGTGAATTTTCCGGCTGAAATCGCAATACAATTTCAAAGTTGCAGAATTTTAGCTTACATTTAATTTCAAACACAAATATACGTATGGAGAATTTGGTTATTCACCCAAATTTTAGAGTTTAAACTCACCAAATAACACTCTGCAGTTTGTGCTAAGACCTTAACTCCATGCTTTCCACTGCTGTTAAAGGCCACTTCAAAGCATGCCTCATCATACTTCAACGAATCAAGCCCAGGGCAACCCTGAGCATGTGCCATGGAGGTTTGCGTCTTAATATGTGTCTTAGGAGGTTTCATCTGGAATTGGGAAAAAAAAATCATTTTTATGAGGAAAGTTAGAATAAGAATACAAATCATTTTCTAGGCAATAAATAATAAAGTTTTAAGTCTACGCACTGCTCAGTAATTACATTTCCATGCATTGCACTGTCTGTAATTGCAGTAAAAAGGCAGCTACAGCATCCCAGGCAGGAGCTTAGGTCGCATATTGTACCCTTAAAATATTTTATTAAAGACTAATCTTCAAACTGACTTTGAAATTCCCAGAGGAGCTTTCCTGGCCTGTTCAAAAATAAATTAAGATTTGCTGGGCATATCCGATAAACCAAGTTAGAAAAGCGAATGGCATCTTGCAAATACTTCAAGCCCCACTCTACAACATAATTACATGTTTACACTCCGCTGTAAATATATCAGGGTTGCAGTTCATATTTTCACCAAGCGATGGCATTTATCAGATGTCTCACTTCAGTAACACAGTGAGATCCTAGGGTAACTAGGGCCCGTTCGGACGTAGAATGAGTCAACTTCCCCAAGTTAATATCAGGTTCACAGGGTGCAAAATGTGCAATAGTAATAACAGGATTAAATACAGTGCCCGCTCACTATAGTTTGAAAAGCTTGATGATACAAAGAAAAATACGGTTTCTGTGAACCTCTTCAGAGAACCTCCATATTTTTTAAAATAATTATGAAGGTCATGATTCCATATTTTGAACTGGCAGGACCAAGTGCTCTATGTTTCGAAAACGTTTCAGCGAATTACTGTTGAATCAATGGACCAAGGAGAACACAGCAAATCCATATCAAGCTTGTGATTTTGAATTACAGAGCAATTGGCCTTTCAACTTTAACTTAAAGCACTTAGGTATTTAAAAATTTCTTTTTTTCATTTTTACTTCGAGACAGCAAGCAAATAATGATTTGAAACTTCCCAAATACAAAAAGAAATGATTGATTAAAAAAATCCCCAGTCCTTTCAATTTCAAATTGCGATATGAAAATTAACAAGAATGGAGACCTTGAACAAATTGATCCGCAACTGGCTCAGATGGAAACCAATGTCCTTGGAGTCATGAAGAAAAGCATCTACTCTTTTGTACTGTCCTCCTCAAATCAAAAATGTCCGGATACTCCTGCAAACATGCGAGACAATTAATGCATTAGACTCAAACCGACATAGAAACGGAGAAATCACATTCAGTTTTGTCTTGTGGAGTAATCTGTGAGATGCAGAGAGGTGATAAAAATTTCAGGCATTACTTAATACTTCAGCGGAAATTCAAAACATTAAAAAATCTATCAGGTTTTGAAATGATACTGCATGTTGTCCTTACCATAGAATCTAAGAGTTGCTTACATGATGGCCCCTTTCATCTATCTGATATTCCTGGCCAGCGAGGAAACGAAGCTCTCCTCCCTCGCCAATCAGATGTTGCAACATTTCTACTACGTACTACTTTCAGAAACATTGGAAGTCATTTTTCAGCCCTGCCTTTCTTAAAATTGGTACACAGAAATTTTGATTTTAAAGGCTCATCATGCTCAGGAGGTCATGCGGAAGATCATGTCAAAAAATTATCGAAATTAAGCCAGTGGCGAGGTACCTGATATTCCATACGTAGCTTTTTAACGGCAATTTACAAATTCTACAATAATTATACATAATTCCTCCATTTTCCAACGGTCAAAATAGACTGTTTGGATTAGTCTTGTCCGAGACTATATAAACACTATTTTGTCAAAACACCGACTGATCTCTTGGTGGTTTTGAACTAGACATACTTAAGTACCTACTCCCAGCAAGAGTAAATTTGATCAAGTTACTTACTTAGATACTTTTGGAAAGTAAAACATCAAAATAAGAACCATGTATTTGATGATCTAGGACTATTGAGAATTCTATGGATCGTTCCTTTCAATTTGTTTAAAGTCCTTCACCATACGAATCACTTGTGAACGTCACCTCTCTACTTTCTTCTTACTTACTACTCTCAGTGTCACCGGTCATTTTGGACAGAGCTGTTGCTGAGCCCATTAAATAAATTGGACAATCACCTCTGTAGAGAACTTTGATAATATTGCGCTGAGGCACCTATCCCTATTGAAAGAATTTGGTTAATTTCTGTGGAACTCTATACAGCCAGCAAAGGGGCATGCCATCTGCCCGACCAATTTACTTACCAATCAGACCAGAAGTAACTCACAGGAAATGTTAACCATAACGTTAAAAGTAGAAACTAAATTCACATACAGCAGTGACGAAGAGACTTCTGATGCACAACAAAACTAGGTGACGCAGATTGAGTTTGATAATCACCATACACTCAGAGGTAATTCCGAGAGTTATGTATGTACTTTCAACTGATTAAAGATGAAGATGATCGGGGGAATGTCAATTAAAACTGCATCGAAAGGCTTCATATCTGTATTCTTATCAATTATTTGCAGTTTGGAGTTCAATTGAAACTAACCTGCCAAGAAGAGATCTGTGCAAACTCTAAGAATCGCCAAACACGTTACCTAACCGAAACTGCTTCTCGATCAAATAGGACGGATCGTGAAGGCTATTAACCTTCGAAAAGCACGAGGAAAACCGAGTAAATTAGGAAATTTCACTTATAATTCCTTTAAACTTTATCAAATCCTGTTATCACTCATTATCAACTACAACTCTTTGTTTTGATACTCTGACGATGCGCTCTGGTGGCGATTCACGACAACACAGATTGCTGCGCGCGCATCACAACATTCCATCAGCGGTATCAGAGGTCCGCTGCTCTAGTGCTCTACCCACCTCTCAATCTCAATACGGAGGGTAGGTATGGATTCGATCGACATGAATCGATCAAAAATTAAAAACGTGAATCGATCGACGTGAATCTATCGACATCGATTCGATCGACAAATTATTTAGAGGTGGTTTTCAGAGGTACAACGTCGCGAAGTTTCATAATATCGTCTGTTTTACTATTTTTTGCTATTTTCTTCAATTTTCTCAAAAAACAGTCACACGTTTGCAGGTCTTAATATTATCAGGAAGTAAAATACGCGGTATGCATCGTTTTTGGATCGGATGAAACAAATCTAGGAAGCATCACGGTCCATTTTCCGAAGTTGCCCAGAGTGGATCACCTTAGCTCATGATGCCCTGCGCGGCGCACCGCGGCGCCAATGAATCCGCTCCCGCCCCCCCCCCTTCTTTCTCCCCCCTCACCAAGGGTCAGATGTGTGATTTTCTCATTCACAATAAGCCTCTAGGTACCTTCGTGGGTGAAGATCAAGGTATTTGTATTTTGGCGCATGCATTTTACAGCCGAAAAACGAAATACCGCGGATCGGCCCATTGTCGCCCCATTTAGGTCAATGTAATTTTTTTGGAGATTTTCAGCCTCACGGCGGCACCGGGCACGTGTTAATACTGTCGGAGAACGAAAATATTTGGCAGGTATCATATTTGGACGGTAAAGATCTAATGTAGGGGGCGCCTCGGTTTATTAAGCGGAAAAAAAATTCCCATGTTAACTTGAACCACCCTATAGCTTGCGTCTTGGCCCGCGCGTTTAGCGGCCGACCGCGGCGCGCCCCGCCGCGTCGCGCCGCGCTGGCCCATAGCCTCACGTCGTCATTGGACCGTTTGTGACCTTACGCTTGAAGATACGCCAAAACCGACGAAATTTCCGCCCTCAGAACCGCAACATGCGATTTTACCTCAAAATTGATACGTCGGTTGCCAAAATTTTTTTTAATTTTGGATTTAGGCCCTTTAGGCCCTTTGAGGCACTGGTAAACATTTTTTTAAAAAAATTTCCTTTGAGGGGGTTCTTTTAGAGATCACATAGAAACTTTTTATGGGATGAGCAACTTGATTTTCGCAAAACTCAAAAATAAGGTACACCCTACCCCCCCCCTTTCCCCATCTTGTCATTAGATCTGATTAAATGACAACGGGAGGAGTGCGAAGAATTAAGTTCAACCTCAACTCTGTAGATACAATTTAAGCGGCTCAGAAGTTGAAATAGTTGTATCCTGTATATTCGCAAATTCTGTACACCGTCTTCTGTGTTAGTATTGTTGAAAGAAGGGCAAAAGCATACGTTTAAAGAAGACCAAATATTCTGATTTTAAGCCCAATAATCTTTCCAAAAATAAATTCCGATCTCCGTCCGAAAGGACAGAGCCACATGTATATTATAAACTCCTTAACAAGTTCGGGGCACCTCTGCTCTGATTATTATTAAAAAGTCCTTTCTACAAAAAGATTTATCCAAAGACATCGTAAAATTGAAGGGGGGGGGGGTTCACGGAGCCGAAGATGCCGCACAAGAAACAGTTACCTCTCCTGTTTTAGAGAAAACAATTTTTAAAATCAAAACTGAAGTGGTCAAAAATATTGTAAGGCAAAATCCGGCATTATTAGACAAGATTCCAAAAGTGAGGGAGGCCATTGAGAATGCAAAACTCATGCGTGAGAAGTCACCGTGGCGGATTCATTAAAAGGAGGGAGTCAGAGAAGAGATAAACGGAATGGGCAGGGAGCGAACGAAAATCTGAGGGGCGAGCGATGCGATCGACGGACGAAGGTGACAGACTTGACACTCGATCGAAAAGGTATCCGTGATCGAGGTAAAACAAAATCAATATAAGGAAAACAAAGTGAATGAGGAGAAGGGAAGCTGGCAAGCGTGGACCGGGAGGACTGAGGGAGGAGGGTCCGGGTGTGAGTGGGCTACCTTGCCCGGGACTCTGGATGATAAGGTGTGAATGAGGTGCCGCCGTGCCACCTAGGTTTCGGTTCAGCGAGGAGGCATTGTTGCTCATCTCACAACAAAACCAGTTCAACGCAATCGGTCAAAAATGTGTATAAAATGTACGCATGAAGCTACGGAACCTTAGGCGCGTCTGTCCGTGGCGCGGCATCCTGGACGCCGGCGGAAAACTCTGCTACCGAGTCGAGTGCGAGCGGACGCTCACATTTCGGAGCACGGCACCCTAGGAGCAGAATCCGTGGATTTTTTCCGCTCTGTCTGCTGTCAATTTCTCGAATTTTTGTTGATCGGACAGTGTGCTCTGGGCCGCGAAAATGGCTGGACGCGCTTTTTTTAGGAGGGTGTGGATTCGATCGACAAACATCGACCGAAAAATAAAAACGTGAATCGATCGACACCGATTCGATGGACAAATTACTAAAAAACCGGTGTCGATTCGATCGACAAAAAACGTGGATCGATAGACGAGAAATGATTGACAATTAAAAGAAAAACCGGTATCAAGTCGATCGACATGAATCGATCGAAAAACCAAAACGTGAAGCGTTCGACGTAATTCGATCGATTCACAACTTGGTCGATCGATTCACAGGTTTGTCGATCGACTCATAGGTTTGTCGATCGACTCATAGGTTTGTCGATCGATTCACAGGTTTGTCGATAGACTCACAGGTTTGTTGATCGATCCACGGCTTTTGTCGATCGATTCACGGGTGGGTCGGTCGATTCACGGCTCTTACCGATCGATTCACGGAACTGTCGATCGATTCACGGCTTTTGTCGATCAATTCACGGCCTATGTGATCGATTCGTGGGTTTGTCGAACTAAACACATTCAAAAATCGGTAGGAAAGGCAGCGGACTGAGCGGAATTTGTCGGCGTCTCCGCTCCGATCTGTTCGCGACAGATCGGAGCGTCCTCCATCGGCGTTTTCCGCAGCGTCTCTCCGCCGCTAAGGTGCCGTCCCCACGCAAAATCATCAGACAGATTTATCGGCGTCCCTCCACGGCGTCCAGGACGCCGCGGACAGACGCGCCTAAGGTTCCGTACCTTAACTGAAAGAGAATGTGAGACAGACTCCAGAAGAGGATGCTATGAAGGGAGATAATGCTGCGTCTTTGGGCGCAAGCGTTGGCTCGGTGACGCTTGGCGCTCATCGCGCGCTGTCATTTCGGAGGGAACCGGGAGCATTTGATTTCATGCCTAGCAGTGCAGCGCCGCGCCCAAAAACGCCGTCGCCGTTGCGCGCGCCACCGCGCTAGTTGGAGGAAAACCCGGCTTTAATTTAAAAGACGCGGCAAGTCCGGCCGGCGCGGCGCGGCGGCGCGGCGCGAGACAGGTACAGATACGCAAGTACGGAACGCTGTATGACGGCATTGATGTCCGAATCATTCGAACTTGTGTTCAAAGAGTAGCGCTGATGAGCAGGCTACTCATTGTCAGCCACTGCGCACCCTTCGGTGCATAGCCAAGGTACACTCTACTGCAGGTAGGTATGGACAAATGGAATTTTAGAAAATCGTCAAAACGCGTAGATTTGACAGCATCGAGAGTGCGACTGCGAAAACCTGCGCGGCAAATGGACGGTACGACTTCATAGTCACTCGATCGCCTATTTTCTCAGCGCTGCCACTTCGGCACCCCGTTTGTCCATACCTGTAGTAGAGTGTACCTTGGTGCATAGCAGCAGTTGGGAAGCATTCTGCGTATTCGCTCACTTTTATAACGTGATTGTAAAAAATCTGGGTCCTATTTCCAAAATCTGATTAGAGCGGGCTCATCTCGAAATAATCACCCGCCGATAGCCGCAAAAATCATGGAAATCGGCTTAGTAGAAGGCTCAAAATGTACCGTGAAAACACATGAAAATTTAAATTGTTTAAATGGGACAATTCGCAACTTTACCACGTAATATATATAAAAAAAAACCTGGGTCATATTTTCAAAATCTGAATAAAGCGGGCTTATTTAGAGAAAATTTCCCATCGATAGCTGCAAAAATCATAAAAATCGGCCCGGTAGAACGCTGGAACTAACAATAAGCGTTACCAGATATGCAAAGGAGGTCTCGGAGCTTATATAAGTCGCAGGCAATTCGCAATCGCCGGCAATTTACAAGCTGGTGGTGGATAAATATAGGAAATCATAAAATTCAAAAATGAAAGAACGAGATTAGAGTGCTGATTATGTTGCCTGTAATGTGAATAGACACTTTTACATCCTTAAAAACATGGCAGGAATGTGCACACTTGGAAGAGCGTGTAGTGAATTCTGTGACATTAGTTGGATTGAGATCGAAAAGGCAACTAAACTAACATCGTGACAAAACGTAGAGTATCACAAAAAATGAAGGCGCTTCAAGCCGAGCTCATACTTTTGAAGAGCATAACCCTCAAAAATTGCGTTATGCCGATGCGCATCATTGCGATTTATTGAAACAACGCGTGAACCGCTTGCAAATTGCCGGCGATTGCTAATTTCCTGCGACATATAGATAGATATTATATCCTCTCTTCATTATCATTGCAAAACCAGCCAAAATCGACCAATTTCTCGAAATATTACTTTGCACATAGGCGGTTCCGGACCTTCATGCTTGGAGGTGCCCAGAGGTGGAAAATGTCGGAGACCGACCCCGAAGGGGACGATCGCTCAGGGGAGGCCTAAGTTTCGGCCC